TTTGTGGTTAGAGAAATTTCGGGACTGAATCCTTACCCTATCCTATGTCCTTGCTACCGGCTACTCTGTACTACTGCTTGCTAAGCCTACCGCTCTGTACCTATCATTACTTCTGTCGTGCTTGCACTACCGTCCTTCAACCTGATTTGCGTGGCATAATCAAGATCTTACCTCGGCGCGTTTTGGTCGGCGGGGTTTAGGGTCGGCGCGTTTTGCAGAACCGGGCGCACTGTTCGACCCGTCGGATGATTACGCGTCGCACTGGATTCTGGCACCGTGTCTCACAGCCCATCACCCACGCCGACTTTCCGTCGAGCTCGGCCCTGCGTCGCGCCCATTAATCCGCGTCGAGGTCCACCACTCGCGTCCCGGCGCCTTCTTCCTCCGGCGCCCGGCGCGCCCACTTCTTCCGCGGGGTACTACACCACAATGCCTCGATTGTCAACATGAGCGAGCAGTTCTTCATCCACATCGAGGCTAGCATCCGCGTAGAACTTCAGACGCGAGCCGTGGACCGTGTAATGCTGGTTCGTGACAAGGTGTCGTATGTCGAACAAGTGGGGTGCGGTGTTGACCACCTCGAACGGACCGACCCATCGGGCGAGAAGCCTGTCCACAGATCGATTCGCGACCAAAGGACGAAATCTCCTACGCTGAAGTTGCACTCAACGCCCTTGGAGCGCGCCATGTTCTGCAGCCGGTGCTTCTCGCGCTGGTCGATCACCTCCCTGTGCATGGCTGCCAAACTGTCAGGCAAAGTTGCAAGTCGCTCCGCCGGCAGTCCATCCGAAGGTACCAGCATCTCAACCGTCTTGCCATGCTCTAGAAGGATTGGTTCCAATGGCGTTGGTCTTGGCAGTCCAGTAAAGAGCTCGCTCGGCGACTTATCGCCCAACGACTGCACGGGCGTGTGGTTCAAGTTGCCTTGAACAAGAGGTAGTAAGTAGACCCACTCACGAGTGTCCAGCTTGTACTCCATAAGCAGTACGCGAACAACTTGCAGTACATCGCGGTTCAGACGCTCAATTGTACCGTTAATCCACGGCGCGTAAGCTACCACAAGACTCTGTTCAATGTCCAGCGTTTCGCACACTTGGCGGATCACCTCACACTTGAAGTGGCTGCCCTGGTCTGATACGAGCACAGAGGGGGCGCCAAAGCGCTCCCACCAGTCCAGCATTGCACTCGCAGCAACGGTACTCGTAGGTGAATCGCACGCTACAAGCTCACAAAAGTGAGTGAGGCCGTCTTTCAGTACCAACACATACTTGTGACACGAGGCGACTTGAAATTTTGGAGAGTGTCCGCGCAGCTGGCCCCGGTGCCGATCCAGGGAGAGCGAGGAAAGAAAGGTCGATTCAGGATGGTGTACCTGTGGAACGCCCGAGCATGATGGAGGAGATGTGGAGTATCGATACCTGGTCGCGTTTGACCTCAACTGGCCGGAGGTGCGCAGCACCCAGTCCGGCCCCGACCTAGTCTGACGAAGGGAGACGGTGAACGTATCCCCGAGAGCTACCCTTCTTGACGAGGCCAAGGCATCCCAAGGTACTTCGAATCCCCGGCAGCCCGAGGGTGAAGCTACTCAAGTGTACCAAGCCATCGACACCCTGAACTTTACCACCACCGTGTTGAAGACGAACATCCAGGATACTGCGACTACGAAGACCCCGAGTGTGACCCGACAATGAGTTGAGGACCTCAAGCAGCGAGACCAAGTGGACACTGAAGCTCGTGGAGTCGACGGCAGCCTGGATGGACAACCGACAGCTCGAATGGAATGCAACTACCCCGAATGGCGGATGGCCATCCTGAATGGACAACGCCCGGAGTGCCCAAGTGCCGATCATCCTGAATGGACCAACACTGCCCTGAATGGAGAAGCCCCAAGCCACCGTTGTTATCTGCCAATGGACCGACGCCCAGGAACGTGCCAAGTCAACGAAGTTAGCGACCAAGGTGCCAGTTCCGAGCGTGACTTGGTTTCACTATGGAGAGTGAGCCAGTCTGAGTTCGATGTGTCAGCAGTGCAGCAGATCCCCAGGTCAGGCACCCGAGTCCCTCCGACATCAAGTGATCGCGACGCGACGCCCGGGTATACTGAAGCCAAGAGAACCCGAACAAGTGTATGAAGATATGAGCAGAGGAGACCGCGTGAAGAATCCAGCGGCCCTCAAGGTAACAAGACCATACGAAGAAGAAGAGAAGTATACAACGAAGAAGAGAGAGATACAAAGAGAAGAGAGATAGCCAAAGAGAGAGAGAGAAGAGGATAAAGATCAACAGAGTTTGTTTTGCGTTCAAGTGCACAAGTGCCTGGTTCGTAATTCGCCTAAGGACAGCCGCCGCCCACGGGAGAGTGTACCGCCTAGGAGCCCACGAGAGGGTGTACCATTCGGAGCCCCGCTGCGAGCTTTGAGTAACGCCTGGTCCAAGGCCCCCGAAAACTTCTCACTACATCATCAAGCCAAGTCAGGTACCCAAAAGTACTGCCCAATCGGGTTGGTACACCTGTTTCATTTCCCAGTTGTGGCGTACACTCTCAGTGTGCGCTTGCATTTCATATTCCCTGTGTTTTAGGAGGTTGTGGCAATCGCCCCCTAGGACCCGATTGTAGATTGCGTGTGGTAGGAAGGTACCTGTATTGTTCTCCTGGCATTCAGGAGTGGTGCGCGTGGGGCATCCCGAATTTACCTGTATTCGGGGTGCAACCTAAAATTGACAGGCTGCATATTGTGTGTACAGACTCTGTATTGATATTGGTTATTTTGGAGAAGGTCTTTGCTCGTGATCTCACTCCCATTCAGGACTCCCGGAACGAGTAGCGCCCGGAAGTTCTCTGCATTCCTGTATCTTTGGTCAATTGCGATTCCCAAGGTTGAAACTCGGTCCGCCGAAGATAAACGACACCTATAGGGATTGCACAAGGTCACACGTCAACCGGAGCTTATATTCATTGTGAGTTTTGGGTTTCCGTAAGCTAAACCCTCCCGGGTCTAAGCCTACCGGACGTACGCTATACACCCTGGACGATAAAGACGTTCACCCGCCTCGCCTCACATGACAGACACACTCTGTCCAGAGTTGCTTCGGAAGTTTACCGTCAAGCAGTAGGGCCCGTACCCGTTCCATGATAGTTCTCATGCGACGTTCCGCAACTCCGTTCTGTTGCGGAGTGTACGCGTTTGTGAATTGTGCGTGTGTGCCGTACTTCCTGAAGATTTCACGTCCAAGCTTTTCGTATTCCTTGGCATTATCTGCCTGGAGAACCTGGATGTCGTGTTCTTCGATAGCACACGGACGCCACTCAAGCACACTGATGTCGTGTCTAAAGATGTTCAGGGCTTTCTCCCTGAAGTCTTCATAGTAGTCATAGAGCTGACTTCGGTTTTCATCGGATATGTGAACATGAATCGGGAATAATCGTCGATAAATATCACGAAGTAACGGCAATCAGTAAGGCTAGGCACAGGTAAAGGACCACAAATGTCTGTATGAACCTTTTCCAATGGTGCTGTGGCACGGTCAACTACTCTATTCGAATAGAAGGGCGAGCGGTGAGACTTTGCTAGCGTGCATGCCGTACAGAAGAACGGCTCCTTCGGGTTTACCGACGCAGTACCGTCGAGTCCACGGATGGCTTGGCTCCTAGATAGATCATGCAAGATGCGAACGTTAGGATGCCCAAGACGTTTGTGTAAAAGCAGAAGAGAGCGTTGCTTACCCGACGTGGCAATGAGTGGCGATGCGCTCACCGCAGGTTTGGCCTGGAACTGATACAGATCCGTGTTCGTCGCCATCGGCGCCTTGATACTGAAGCGTTCATCAGTCTGCATGACACACTTCTTGCGATCGAAGCTGAAGCGAAAGTCGTGCTTCACGGCAGCCGAGACTGAGAGTAAGCTGAAGTGCAGCTGTGGGGCGTAGAGGACGCTGTGAAGGATGAGCGTCTTCATGTTGCCTTTGGAGTCGATGACTTCCAGCTCAACGCGTACAATACCCTCAATCGGGATTTGATTCTTTCCGCCGACGGTGATGGAACCACCACTGGCAGAGATGTTCGAGAACCACTGGGCTTCATGCGTCACATGACGCGTACATCCAGAATCAATGGTCCACGTGGTGTCCACGTCAACGTTGGCTTGAGCCGTGAGACTCAGAGGCGGGTTGATGGCGGTGGCTACAGCAATCAGGCCGGACTCGCGGCGCTCTTGGTGAAACACCTTTCGACGGTTGCCATCGGCTTCATCATCATCGTCCGAGTCGGCCTGGCGGCGTTTGCGTTCGCGGGACTTGCTCCGACGGTAGTCATCATCATCAGAGCTTTCTTGGCGGTTTTGGCGCTGTCGATTCTTGCCACGATTGCCGTTGTAGTTGCCACCAGCACTGTTTCCATTGCGCTTGTTCTTGCCCTTGTTCTTCGGGTACTCACGCTTTGAGTTGCCTTTGAACACAACGTTCGCAGGCAGTACAGTACCGGTCTTCACGTGTCCAGTCCGCAGGTCCTTCTGTAGGCTCCTGCAGTGACGGATAGCGTGGCGCTGGCGGTCGCAGTACGAGCAGGTATTGTTGTAGCTGTTGCCATGGGTGGGCGGAGGGATTGTAGGTCCAGCCGCAACCAGGGCACGCTCGCTCTTGGTCGCTGTCGTCTCTGGCGTGCCCTTCGCCAATGTATAGCGCTCTTGGGCTTGGAGGTCGCGCACCTTGCCATCAATACTCTGCTTGAGGTCCTCATACGGGATGTACTTCCGTTGGCCCTTCCAAACCCGGAGATCATCCTTCCACGACTTGGGCATGGAGTGGAACAGGTAGATTGACTTCTGTCCCTCCGTCATCACCGATTCGGTGGCTTCCGACGCGGCTTTCATCGCGTTCTCAAGCTTAAGGAAAAACTCTGTGAGATCAGAGCCCTCATCGTACTTGATCTCCATCAGGTAGTGCTGGATGAAGTAGGGGTCGCCGTGGAAGGCAGCACCCTCGTACTTCTCGCAGATGAAGGTGAAGATGTCGTAGGACGTGACGAGATTTTTGACCAGCCGAACGTGCGTGTTGTCCATCGTCTTCATCAGGAATGCCTTGGTCTTGGTTCCTGGCGACGGCGCTCACGCTGGTTCAAAGGCTTGGCCTTCGGCTTCTTCAACGGCTTGTGCGCTTAGCGTGCATCACGGTGGTTAAACGGCCGGATAACGGGCAGGTCCTTGCGCTTGATTGCAGAGTCCGAGTCACCACTTGAGTCTTCGTCAGAGCCTGATTGGGGCTTGTCATCGTCGTCACTCTCGTCGTAGTCGACGGCGTCGGAGTCGATCTCAGCCGTCTTTGCCAGCGTGGTCTTCGGCGGGTCGTCGGCGTTGGACATGTCGCTCCCGCTGTCCTCGCTGTCGTCCTCGGAGACACCATCATAGTTGGGCTTCGTCATGAAGCCGAGTAGATGCTTTCCGTCGAGGTCTGCGCACACGCGAGCCTTCCAGACGTCGAAGTTGTCGGCTCCGATGAGTCTGGGGAAGTCATCGCTGGAGGCTTGGCTTGAGCTCATAACCTGTTGCGAGGTTAACGGAGAGACTAGGAGGAGGGGAGTGTGGAGGAGTCGTCAAAAGACGAAGTGAGTTAGATTAGAGATGGCGCACTGCCAGCAGCAGAGTTTAGATGGTTGGTTCTAGCAAAACTACACTGGTACAGACTATACAGCATAGTTACTCCTTGACTAACAGCTTTGAAGGGACCTTTTGTATCAGATCATCCGCTTCCAGAGGTGGTTGGTACTATGTGCCACTATGTAAAGGGTGCAAACATTGACATTTGTCACATAAATTGCGATTTGTGACAGCGTTTGTGTTAGTTTTGGAAGAGTTCCAATGTCAACAAAAGACTAGCGTCAATACATGTATGCGCTGTTGCTTGGTTCGGCTCGCCCGCCACCTTCAAGCTCTGACGCCACGTAACAAATGATGCAGCCCGGGCAAATCGTAGATGATCCTCGTCACATACTACAGTGAGGTGACAAGATTCAATATCGACGAAGGCCGCCACTTGATCCCATTTCACAGCACGAAAACGATCAGCTCTTCATTCGAGTCATAAGTTCACTAGATAATTGCTACGGCAGTCATATCCCCTGGTGCGTCCACAATGAGGCCAGGATCCCCACGCTATCAGACCGAGGTCACTCCCGTGTTGGTTGGCATGGCGGTGGACATCGCTGGGGATGCGACTGTCGCGACCTTCCCGCCGGCCTCCTGTCCTAGCAGACGCAGGTGCGTTGAGCACAGCCCGTTCCTCCTGCAGGAGCGGTTGCAGTTGGCGATGCTGCATCGCTTGCCTCCGCCATGGTGCGCGCAAAAGCCTCCGCCGCGGTCGTTGCGCATGCAGCCTGGGACCTCGCAGAAGCGGGAGCCGCCGTGCAACGCGCAGAAGTCCCCTCGCTGCGTCCCTTTGTTGCAGCCCTCGGCGGCGCAACGCTTGCCTCCTCCGTGTGCTCGGCAGAAACCACCGCCTTGAGAGCTCTTCGTACAGCCTGGGAACTGGCATCGCGGACCTCCACCGTGTGCCTTGCACAGCGAGTTGGTCTGCGCCGCCTTGTCGCATCCTGGATGTTTGCAGCGCTTACCTCCTCCGTGCTTGATGCACATGTTGCCTCCCTGGCTGCTCTTCTCGCACCCCTCCACCATGCACCGACGGCCACCACCATGCGCAATGCAGAGGTCCTGAGACCGTGCACGCTTGCTGCATCCGGCGACCGAGCACAGCCGACGTATCCGCTTGGGCTTCTTGGTTGCGTCCTTGTTCGTGGCCGACGGCTTGATTGCCGTCTGCGTCGACGACATGAACGGCGCGGCCACCGCACCGCTCGCGCTAGTCGGTGTCGACGACTTGTTGGCGATGGGCGATGACGAAACTGTTGAGAAGCCCGAGGAGGACCCATTCCAGTCACTGTCGTCGTCTTCTTGCAGCGACAAATCGGGCATGGCAAATCCGCCGTTAATAGCAGCCATCGCAGCGGCCGGGGCCTGCGCCACCTCGTTGAACAGAGGACCCGCGTTGGCTGCCTGCTGGAACGTGGCCATTATCGGCCCGTCGTTGCCGAAGTATGGACTGTCACCCAGCTGGTTGTTCACGTGAGACCCGGCAGACGTAAACTGGTTTAAACCAGCAGCGCCGTCAAATGCGGGCTTGTACATGCCGCCGCCGTCGTAGAGCGGGAAGTCGCTCACGGGCAGCGTCGCGCAGTCCTGGTAGGGCATGACGAAGTTGTTGTCCATGGCAGAGAACGGGTCAGGCCCAAGCGTTGTCGCTGCTTCACGGCCCATGACCTGCTGCACGTTGTTGTTGTTATTGTTGCTGCCGCTGTTGTTGATCGTCATCGCGCCGCCACTGACGAAACTCGGCTCTGATCCCGCCAGACCCATCACGTGCGTCATGCCGGCGCTCGCAGGTGGCATCATCATCATGGAGCCCGCCAGCGGCGCAGGCTGGTTGCTGGCGCCCGCCATGAGCGCTTCCGAGTCGTAGGGCGTCGGCTCGAAGCCCCAGTTGGCGGTGGGCGCGCGCGGGGGCCCGGCGTTGAGGTTCCAGTTGTTGGCCAGCATCCCCATCATGTTTCGGTCCAGCTCGTAGGGCGTCGCGGCCATCATGGCGGGGTCGTCGCCCTTGAGCGCGCTGCTGCTGTCGGTACTGCTGCCGCCACTGCTGTTGCTGCTGTGGTGCGGGTGGTGCGAGTAGCTCGAGGCGTTATGGCCAATGGCGCGCTGCATCGCGGGGTTGCTCAGCACGGCGGCCTCCTCAATGGCGTCGGTGAAGGACGTCGAGAGCAAGGCCGGGGACCAGGCAGTCGCGGGCTCGCAGCCAACTCGATCTTGTGGTTGTGGCGCCGGGGCCCGGCGACTATCGCCGCTCCGCGCGCGTGGCGCCGTCCCGACCGGAGCTTGATTGCCGGGCATTGAAGCGGCAAATACACAACTAGAAGTGCGTCTGCCGTCTCAAGGCACTTTTGGGGTTGGGTGTGGCGCGCGCTCTTCTTGTCTATGCAGCGAGCGGGTCGACGCCGATATATAGGCGGACGGGGACCAATATCCCGACGAGGCCGACGAGGCTTGAGCCCTTTATTTCGGGTCCTAGTAGAAGGGAAATCGCAAAGTGATTCGACGGGGAGGCCTCGCACTGATCCGAAGATTGTATTTCGCGTGAAGCGCGGTGCCCGACAGAAGTTGGTACGCATGCAAAACGCCGAGATTTTTCGCGAGAACGCACGCGGCAAATCCACCGTTCCGCAGGGCAGCTCGACGGTCGACGGTCGACACTCGAGTGTGCTGGTGATTCATGCTAGTAGTGTGCTGGTGGTGCCGCATCCGACGCTAGTGCTGGCGCGCTGTCTATCCAAAGTCGGCGAGTCTCAGGCTGGCCAAGGTGTTGGATAAGCCAGGTTGAAGATACCGGGCAAAACGATACAGAAGAGTAACAGCTGCATTGCTGCGGTGTATCTGTGATCCTGTGAGCGGCAATGCAAACCACTCCGTCTCGTAGGGATCACATGCGCACGTTACGTGGACGTTGGCCGCCATAGAGCGGCCGCGTCCACCTCAGACATCCATTATCTACAGGACGGAATCAGCCGCCGCAATGCAGCTTTTACGCATATGTGCACAATGTCCACCGACAGCAGCACCAATACACGTACAGCACTCGCTGCAGTCCCTACCTAAGTCAACTATCAGATCGAGGGACTGCGTAGGCGAGCTTGGGACTGGTAGGCTCCACAATGGGTGAGGTGAATAGAGTACACCGGTTCTGTCGGCAAATAGTTTAGATGACAACTTTTGTCAAAATAAATCTTCATGAAGCTATCTATGTACAAGTTGTCCACGAGTGTCCTTCTTCAATTTGAAGGCTTAGGAGAGAGAACCTCTTTACAAACTCCAAGCGAACTGCCAAATGTTACCTCCAGACTTCCTTTTGGCGTGACCCTGTGAGCATCTGAAATTCAGATCAATTTGGGCCAATCAGAGATCGATTTTGCTGATTTTTCTTTCTGAATCCGGCATCTGTGAGCACCCCTAATGGGTAAGTTTGTTATCGTAATACAGTACGTAAAATATCCGAGGAATTCCTAAGTGCCATTACAGCACCTGGGTTGAAATAACAGTCAGGTCATCGTCAAGTCACCGCTGCCCCCAGGATACTGGAGATTGGTCCTAAAATGATAGCTAATTTTGCTCGTTACAGTCATTACTTGCAATTATTGTCAATTCTGCCCAAATTTTCCAAAAGGGTGCGGTTTGGCTCCGGTCTTGAAATCGAGCGGCGAATCGAACTTCGTCGCTAATTGGTCAACATTCCCTGAAGTGCCCGAGTGCGCACTCCGCACAGTCAATTCAAGATGGAGGAAGCGGTAACGCGGCAGCACGCGCACCCTAGCACTGTCTATCACTGCCTCTACGCGCACATCAAGCTCGGCTATACTAGAAGCCATCTTGCCCACGTCTTCAATAAGGCCGAACACACGATCGGCAATTGGCTGCAAGCCTACTACGAGACCGGAGTGTTCCAGCGTGCTCGGACCACTCGAGAGAGGAAGTCCACGAAGCAGCAACGGGTGTGGCTTTTTAACTACTACCAACATCATCCACTCTCCTACTTAGATGAAGCCCAGGACGCCTTCAAACGAACTCACGGCACCGAGATCTCCAAGACATCAGTGTGGCACATCATTCACTCGTTTGGTCTGACGTGGAAGGTGTTGGAGCGAAGGGCGATTCACATCAAGGATCAGGACGTCTTCCGTTTCGTGGAAGAGCTTAGGCACCTCGACTGGAGCCACCACAACCTCGTTTTCCTCGATGAGGTCTCATTTGACAACAGAGGGATGGTTCGCAAGCGAGGCTACACCGTCCGAAGGAAAAAAGTTGCCATCCGCGGCGACTTCGAGAGAAAACCTCGTGTGTCGATCCTGGCCTTTATTGGTGTCAACGGCATTATCGACTACTTCAGTACGGAAGGCACTTTCGATCGGCTAGAGTTCTCCAAGTGCTGTCAAGACCTGGTGCACATGGAGAGGGGGCCGATACGCCAGTATCCTGGACCAAACTCAATCTGGATCATGGATGGGGCTACAATCCACCGCCACCCGGAAATTATTCACTATCTACGAAGCGTCGGTGTAGTGGTGATCTTCTTGCCAGCGTATTGTCCGTTTTTTTAATCCTATCGAGTTCCTCTTCGGATACGTCAAGCGCTCCTTTCAACGACACTACTCGGAAGCTAGCGGGCAAGATTTGACTCCATTCGTCGTTCAGACGTTTCAACGCTTCAGAGATTTCGACATGAGCAAGGTGTTCGAGCACTGCGGTTGGAAGAAACAAGGCTACTTCGATCCTGTTGGACCTCTTTCAAGTGAGAACAAAGCCGAACTCGCTGCTAGTGAGCGCAACCAAGATGAATTAGAGTTTACGGAACTTGAATCGTAAGAGAAGCTTAAACTCATCAACATGCAATCCTTTTTCTTTCGTCACTCGGCGTGCTCTGTGTCGTCGACGTTCTCCATTTGAAGGAGAGGGTCGATCACTTTGTCGCGAGCAGGAGGGGTGATGTCGCGCAGAAACCCCATGATAACACTCTTGCGCACTTCCAAACGGCGCTCATTTTCATCGAGATACTGTCCGAGAAATTCCCACCTTTGGCGCAGCTGCCGGTAGTCAGCAATTGTGGCCTCCACAACATCTAGCGCCACATTTGCCGTTCGAGTAATTTCGGCCACGTGTTGCTCCATCTGTGTATCCACGAGTCGAAGCAGATTCGCGATATACTCTGGTGGTAGTTGTTGAATAGCGGTGTCCCACGTTGACCTGTTGAGATTCCGCGTGAGATGGTTGGCCCACAGACGCCAAACAACACCTTCACCTAGGAATGTAGCCCCCCATTGCTCTCGAAGTCTCTCACAACATCTCGCAACGAGGTCTCACCGGGTTGCACCCGCACGATCGATCTCCTCAGGCTGTATGCAGGCTGCGACGAATTCATCTCGATCTTGAGCTCTTGCGATCGACAAACCATACTCATAGATAACGAGCGTCACTGTATGCCCTCGCATTTTTTGCAGCCACTGCTTCCACGCTTGTGCTGACTTGGTAGACTCCACTACCTTCTTTTTGGCCCTGAGCTGCACGACACGGTCCCCCTCGCCCACCTCGTGGGTCTCGACAGACCACTCGCCGTCCGTCCGCACCGCTCTGTACTTGACACGGCCGCTGAACAAGCTCCAGATCTTCTGCAGGATCTCGTCGAACGATCCGCCGTTGACAACGACGTCGTCGAGAGTCTCGGCCGACGTATCGCGTTGGGCGATGGTCGCCTTCACGATTGGCCGCAATAGCAACTGGTACAGATGACTTGGAGCTGCTTGGTCTGCTTCTGTTGTTGCTTCGTGCATGCTCTCAGGCCGTGGCAGCGACGTGACCACTCGCGATGTAGCTGGTGCTGCTGGAGATGCCGCCAACAGACCAACGGATCGTGCAGGAGAAGCAGTAGCGGGTGCTGCCGGTGCTCGTGTCGCTGGAAGCTGCTGCGGTCGAAGCGCTGCTTGGGTCGCTTATAGTGGTCGTGTTCCTTGACCACTTACGTCTGTTTGCGATGGAGATGCGTGTGGAGCCACTGTGGGCTGCGAGGTCGACGGAGAGCTGCCTGGCGTCGGGGTGCGGCTTCGTAATGGGTACGGCGAGACACGCGTAAGAATGGGCTGGCGTGGCGACCTCCGTGGCGTGGCCACCATGGTACAATTCCAGAACTGCAAAGCTGCAGCTTCCGGCTCCCAAAGGAAAGCCTCTTATCACGCATATATTTCATTCCTTATGTTAGGTTGGGCGATTGGCAGGTCGGTTTCGCTGGATCGATTCAACCAATCGCTCTCGGAAATTTTGAATCGAACGCACAATAATGCCTGCGCTTCTTGCATTTTCTCATATAAACTTGGTCTCAGGTCCTCGTTGCACTTTCAAATGATGGGCGAAACGCTGCTCTTTAGTAATGGTTTCCAGTGAAAAACACTAACACTAATGACAACTGGTTAGTGTAAAACACTGATTTCAGCTCGCTTCATGAGTGTTTCAGTACCTCATGTACTTAGATATGTTATTATGCAGCGCTAAATGGCCCTCCTATGCGGTTTTTTGCGCCCTTCAAGTGCGCTAGAAACACGCAATGCACGTGGGCACGCACGTTAACACGTGACACTGTCTCGCTGCGTGTCAATGACGCCAAATTGCCCTGCAACGTGATCTGCAATGTGCCCCTCGACCACCTCAGGTCGACGATCGGCCCAGGCAGTGACTGCTTCCCAAGCAGCAACTCTAGCGGCTATGCAGCCCCGCGTTAAAAATTGCCCCATAGTGAACGCCAGCACGGTAAGTGCACTTCAACGCGGGGGCTAAGATCGCACACATGGGACATGCCCTTTTCCTTGCTTCATTGCGTGGGCGATCACCAGGACTTCGATTGCGCACTGCATTATTATTAGTGAAGCGCGCAGGTCTCCATTTTGCGATACAAGGCCTTAGTACGCGGAAGCCATAGCCCAAGGGTGCTGCTCAAGACGTGCTCACGCTGGGCCAAGCTGTATTACGTGTTCGTTGTCACCACCAGCTAGCTTATGCATTAGCTTCTCCGTCGTTGTGTGGACGAAGTCCTACTCAACTGGACCGCGGGGTGATCCGTGGCATCGTAGCTTTCGGTGAATCGCACGTACGGTACTCATTTGTCGAGGGATGGATGCGGTATCGATCACTCCGTTTGTTTTCATTGTGCGTGTTTTGTTTTGTTTTTTGTTCGCGTGCAATGAGAAAGCCTCCAACACTACAGCTACAGTGCCCACAGGCGTTGAGGGATAATACCTTGTTGACGACGAGCATTGCGTCGAGAGTTTCGGAGGTGGACAGGATGTGTCGTGTCGGTCGAGATACGTAACATTTTTGTTGTTGTTGTGATTGTGAAATTACTCTGCGCTGGATGAAAGCAATTGATCGAAGGGATTGATCACTTGCAAAGTGATCGGCCGCAAGTTGCAATGCAGTTCAAGGGCAATTGCCTGTTGTGTTCAACTTTTCAGCTAATGCGGTTGACCAGTCGAGGTGTTTGCAAGAGGTGGGCGAGGCGAAAAGAGTGGGAGCGAGGAAACATCGTGGATGAAGCATCATGACCGTGGTAAGTTACCCAATGTTGGATCCGATCAACGATAGCAGTACGGAATGATGCCGGGAAGAATGCCCAATGTAATCGTCACCATTTTACACAGCCGACATGGTCGTTCGTTCATACAGCAGATGGGTGTCCACTTTTGTTTAATGGTGACCACTTAACGAAACATGACGGGTATGTTTTGCGGCTTACTACATCACTACGCATTCTCACAACACTTCAATTCTACTAACTTATTTGTACAGGAGGGGCACACAACGTGAAGGCGCTTCGACTGTTTATTTCCAGCCGAGGACGCCGGTGTCATTTCTTCTGGCGCATTTGCAGCCCTCGCCTCGCTTCGGCAGCCGCGTGAACCCAGTGCCCTCGTCACCGCACAGAGTCGTCCCGGCCGGAGCTCGGCACTCTGCTACCTGTACCAAGCGCCGATGAGCGAGCGTGTGCTTCTGGCGGGACGGCGAGTGCTGCGCCAGGACCTGCCACAACGACGCACAATGGCGTTGACATGAGCACCTTCGGGGACTTGGAGGGCCGTCCCGCTGCCAGCAGCAACGCCCCATGAAAAGCCCCAACCAATTCGCGGCCGTTCTTCTGGAACAACACCAGCAGCATATCAAGCAATAATGGCGACGGTGGTGCTTGGTTGCCGCACTTCGACCAACTCTACGATCCACAGTACCGCCCTCATCTGTCAAGACGCATTCTTGGCGCGGGATCTTCAAGAAAAGTCTAGGACTCCGTCCTACTCGTCGAGACCCAAATACTCACGTTGTTACGCGGGCTGTGTGCATGTTGTGCGTGAATGTGGGGAGGGAGACTCAGCCGGCGCGGGGACGCAGGTCACGTGGTCCCCCCGTCGACGAGCAATTTTTCCAGTTTCCCTGGCGGGTCGACAACATCAAGAGTCATCATCTCTGCTTCCACCCGAGAATATGGGCCCAGCACCAAACACTGTATGCTGCGTGGCAGCATGCTCGCGGACCTGCCAAAGCTAGTGCCGAAGTGCGTTTCGAAGATTTTCTCAGCCGGCCCTTACAGTGGATGCGAGAACACCCGTCTTCTGAAGGACAACAACTGCCAGAAATTCCACGCATGGATGGTTATCGCACTAGGATGCAGCGACTGGATGATCGTGAGAGGAGAATGTCAAGAACAAGCTGAACTAGCTGCAGAGCGGACTCGGCTTCAACGTCAGAGCAACGAGTATGAGAGTCGACGTCGCGAACTGGACAGCCGCGAGGCAAACCTTGTCGCGTGGCAACGACGGCTTGCAGAACGAGAGGTATCTCTGAGATCGAGCAGAGGGATATCGTCTCAATCGGCCTCCACTCTGGAATAGTGCACACGGCAAAGATGCATGACCAGCTATTCGTGTGCTTGCATGTAGCAAGGCTGCACCGAGAACACGTACGTGAGGACTTCCATTGATCTTTGTACGGACAAGGGGGTATTTGCATGTGACGATTATCTAGATTTCAACTCAAATCACGATGACTTCGATTGCGCACCATAAGCTTATAAAGCGAAGCGCGCAGGTCCATTTTGCGATCTCGTGCGCTAAGCCATAGCCCAAGGGCGCTGCCCAAGCGGTTGCAAATGATGACCAAGCTGCAGTACGTGTTCGTCGTCACCAGCTTTGTATTATCTTCTCCGTCGTTGTGAAGAATTTCCACTCCGCTGGACCACGGGGTAGTCTATGGGCATCGTCGCTTTTGGTGGATCCTAGTAGGATCCCCCCTATGGCCCTTGCGCTTCAATATTGTTGCGGCACTTATCTGTTGAGGGACGTTTGTTTTCATTGTGTGAGCTGTATTCTTTCCTGTTGTGTTGGAAACTTTCACACTGTTTTTCGTGTGTAGTGAGAAAGTTTCCAACACTACAGCAACGGTGTACATGTAGATGTTCAGGACGAGCGTGCGCCGAGGGTTTCGGAGGTGGACAGGACGTGTCGTGTCGGTCGAGATACATAACATTTTTGTTGTTGTGTTTGCCAAATTACTTGGCGCTGGATGAAAGCGATTGAAAGTGATCGGTGGCAAGTTGCAGTGCAGCTCAAGGGCAATCGCCTGTTGGCTTCAATGTTTTTCAGCTAATGCGGTTGACCAGTCCGAGGCGTTTGCTAGCGTGGGTCACGCGAGAAGAGGGGAAGCGAAGGTGTAGGGATTGCGCCGCCTACACTGCCTCGCCCGCTGCGGGTGAATCTACTTTCTACTCAAAAGACCTCCTTCCTACAGGAGCTGCTGGGCGCCTCCGACTTTGAGACGGAATCTTCACGAGCACGCGATTGTTTGCGCCAATGCTGTCTCTAAGATTCTTGTTGCTGCTGTAGGTGTGCCAGTTATATGAAGAAACCTGTATGCGAGGCCAGATTCTAGTGTAGCTTCCCGCTGTAGTGCTCGCTTACCAGCCATCTGTTAGTTTTCGAGCTAAGAATCAATTCACTTCTCCATTTGCCTCAAAAGCAACAAGCCAACCTCCTCTCCAACCCGGCGACTACTCTACAACTGTCCTACTGCTTCGCTTCAACTTCCCTCTCCTTCCAGCCGCGCCGTGCACGAACTCCACAGAAGGAGTTCTCTTAGCGAAGGCTAAGAGCACAACGCTGAGGGGTGTAACACCCTTTGTTCTCTAAGCGGATAGCTTAGAGCCAGCGTCATTTCATGTCCGACCATCAGTTTAATACATTCGGTACATTTTAATATGAACTAGAGTATCCAAAATCTCATGGTATTACCGGTATAAAGCAGTGCAGCGTCCGGCTGTCCTAGTCTGCTCTCTGTACGCTACTTGCTATGAACCTATTGCCCACGGTATCGATCACAGTGCAGCCTGGATAGTGTTATCTTGACATCAGCAGTATGGCCCCGTGTGCATGCCAAAGAGACTTGCGTGTAGTGCACCCAATGCGCTGTAGAACACCCGCATAGCTGGAATCAGCAAGTTGCTGGCTTTGAAGAAGTTAAACCTAGTTGTATTGGGCGCTTTCTCGAGATCGAAAACGAAATTCGCAATAAGCTTGCAGTGCAAAACATTTTAGTTCCGCGCCCACCGGCTGAGCCACACCACGGGGAGAGCTCGACAGAGCGAGACCCGGGGGCTCAGCCAAGGGGGGGCTCGGGTATTTAGCTTGTAAGCTTTTCACAAAAAGCAACAGGTCGCTGAGTGCAGGACGTATTAAATCTGTTGCGGTGAAGGACATTTTGCAGGACACATTAATTATGCTGGCATCATACAGCACTGTTGAAAAAAGACATCATGTATTACGCAGTGGAGTCTGTAGCCTATTTAGTTCTAGCTACTCGAACAGCGTACCCAACGGCCTACTTCTTCGCTTTTCGACGTTTGGGCGTCCTAAATGCGGTGTATGCGGGTGGCATCGACAAAGTAACCGGATCGGCGTGAGGCGGGGCAACACGACGGCGCATCTCGATGCGATTGTAGCTCTCAATTGGGTTGTTGGTGCGGTTGTGCATTTCCACCTCCTGCTCAATGTAGCTGTTGACGTTCCAAAGCGAGGGAGGGAACATCGTCATCCACGTCCGCACGAAGTAGTCCCAGAAACCGGTCCAAATGCGAGCCGCTCCCTTAGTTTTGACGATTGACATCACGTACGGAATCCCCTTGCATCGGATCTCGTCAATTGGTATAACTGTCAAAACGTCGATGACCCCCGGACACATAGCCTCAGAAATCTGATTGGCCGGAATTCTGAGGTCGATCAATTTTCGACGAATCGCTTGCTTCCAATGGAATAAACAGCCAATCAGAGACGTTCTTGGGAATTGGTCACGGATGCCCTTGATTAGCGTCGCCTCGAAGTCACTGGTGATGCTACCAGGGGTCATCTGCATCGTGCCCAATACTCGCACCCAGTGCAACGCGTGCCAATACGCCCACTCGTCTTTGGCCTCTACAAGCATGTACAACGCAGGGATGTAGACGTCGTAGCTAGGGTCGTGCACCATGACGATGAGTGTCTACTGAAATTCTGACGGGGTGATGCTGAACGTGCCGTCGATGAACACAGACGCTCCAGGATACTTGAGTAACCGGATCAAATCCGGGTGACCCATTCCGATGATGTGCTGTCGCTTGCCCGCGTTGTCGTAGAACACGTTGAACTGAACGAAGGAACGATCGTCTGATTCTGACATGCATACCGTCGGAAATCTCACGATCTGGCGGTACTCGTCACCTCCGTTGGCCTGCTTGCGTACGTAATTGCCGAAGTTGATGGCCTCCTCGCGCTGCATGGGCTTCATGGCCTGGTCCGGGTACTTTTTTGCAAGCTGGTCGCAGACCTTCTTCAACAGCCTTGATGGGATGACGCCGGGAGACGTAACAGCCTCAGTCTCGAGCAACTGACGCATCTCTTCATCGCAGTCCTTGACGCTGGGCTCCGGCTCTGCCTTGCATGTGTGTTCACCGGTCTCTTTAACGACGGTGCCACCGTCGTCAAGCTCTTTGACAATGACCTTTCCTTTGCATTTCTTCTTAGTTCGGTAGGTTGAACACTGGTAATACGTGGTGCTGCCTCGCGACATCTTTATACCGTAGTAGTAGCCGTTGAACTGCATCTTGTTGCTTTGTCGAGATTGAATTTAGAACTGAAGCTAGCTCTACAACTACGGCCACTACAACGATGAATGGTGAGAGATGCTCGGCTGCAGAGCCTAAATTGGTTTCCTGGTTGATTGGTTAGCGCTCGCAACGTATAGCTTACTGTATACAATACAAAACACAAGTGCCTATCGTATTCACAACCTCGTAGCCATAATGTAACCAAATGTAACCAGTTACAGTCACATTGTAACTCTGTAACCATATAATAAGCGTAAACGTACCCTCACAGTTTTACTGTAAATCTTAAGAAATATACTGGGGAGATCGGTATTTTTGCAGGACACATTCCACGATTTTGCAGGACATGTTTTATGGTGCAGGACCAATTTTCTGGCTGCATAAAATCGTCCCGGCCTATCCGCCTCCAACCTTGGTTGTCCTGCCGTTGAAGTCTCGTACTCCCACTTCATACCATGTTGGATGTCAGGCAACATGCACACATGCACTGTGCCACCGGTTCGTCGCTTTGCACACCAGCAGCATTGAACGCTGAAGATTAGACTTCTTACATCTCGACGTCTTCCTCTGCCTCGACAGTCTCAACCATCTTCCAGGGTTCGGTCACATCTTTCACGTTCAAGCGGCTTCGCTAGCGCTCGAACTCGGCTGGCCCCAACGCCTTGGTGAACACTTCCGCCAGATTGTCCGCGCTTGGCACATAAATCACGTCCAGCTCCTTGCCTTGGACGTACTCGTTGACAAAACGAGCATGCTTCGCCATGTACCGCACTCTCGACGTGTTTCCATTGTTCGCCACGACTGCAATCGTGCTCTGGTTGTCGCAGTAGACTGGCACTTCCAGCCCTTGTTCACCGTAGCCCAGCTCCAGCAGGAGCCCTCTGGCCCAAACAACCATCTTACAGCACTCACAGCAGGCGACAAGCTCAGAACTGCAGATGTCTTCAATCACGCGCCGTTGCATGTGACTCTTCCACATCCATGCATTACCGTGCAGCCGCAGGAGATAGCCCGTCACTGATCGACTTGTGTCTGGGCACGACTGATGATCCGCATCACAAAATGCATCCATCACTGGAAACTCAGGTGTAGCTTTGTACACCAATCCCAGGTTCTTGGTCGCAAGTGCATAACGCACCACCCGCTGTGCCGCCCGATAGTTCTCTAAGGTGTACGCACTTGTGTAGCGCCCAAGTGCCCTTACACCATTAGCCAGATCCGGACGAGTGCAGATGACCAAATATTGCAAGGACCCCACGATCTCACGGTACGGCAACTCTGGGTTGTTGATCTTGCTTTCATCCCTTTCGATCTTCGTGATCTTCTCATGTTGAAATTGCGGCGATCTCACAGGCCTCGATGACCCTAAGCCAAACTTCTCGGCCAGTCGCTCAATATACGCTGTCTGCGACAAAGTCAACATCCGCCCCGGTCTGTAGTGCACCTCCATGCCAAGTGGATGGTGCACTCGCCCAAGGTCGTTCAGCTTGAAGCGCGCTGCAAGCTGCGCAACAACTTCGTCGATGTCTGCAGGCACTCCAGCAAGGATGATGTCATCGACGTACACGGTAAGAAAGACCACTCGGCCGGCACGACGTCTCCAGTACACGCCAGCATCGAAGGTGCACTGCACAAACCCCAGCTTAACCAAGACCTTGTGCAGCATGTCGTTTCAAATCTGTGACGCTTGTTTCAAACCGTAAAGTCCTTTGCGTAACCGACAAACGCGATCCGTTCCTCCTTCGCAGCCCTCGGGCTGTTCCATATAGATGACGACGTCGACCAGCTCACCGTTTAGAAACGCAGTGACAAAGTCAATGTGGCGACACTCGAAGTCGAGAAACATGGAGATTAGCAGTACCAGCCGGACAGACTCAATGCGAACCACAGGTGAGTACGTAGCCAAGTAGTCCAGGCCATACTTCTGCAGGAAGCCGCGAATAGCAAGCCTTGCCTTCAGTCTCTCCACATCACCTTTCTCGTTCCGTTTTGCCACGAGCACCCACACCGATGTTAGTATGTTTGCTTTGCGCCGTCCCTTTCTCTTCTTCGGACGTGCTACGAGCTCCCAAGTTCCATTCGCCATCAGTGCAGCGTACTCCTCGTCCATCGCGTGACTCCAGCCTTCTGCGTGCTCAGACGCTAAGGCTTCCTGCCGCGACATCGGGTTTAGGATGTTGTTCACAACACCAATCAGCATGCACTGCGACAACGACAATGCCATCACCCATGTGCTGGGGCTATAGTTGCTGTTCGGCTTGCGCTGGCGTCCCGACCGACGAGGGCCAGTCGCAGATGTACGCCCCGCAGCACTTGTTGATGCTCCAGTAGTCCTCGTGCGTGTCGACCTTCCACGCTGATTGAAACTTGCGCCAGAACCTCCAGTAGTACTTGCTCCAGCAGTACTTGTTGTCGAGCTCCCACTAGTTCCAGCTCGGGTGGCACCTGCCGCCGTGTTCGCGCTGGTTCCAGCCGTTGCAGTACTAGTGCGCGTCGTCCCACCTCCTGCGGCGCTCGCAGTCCCCGCTCCACCAGTACCTGCGTTGGTAGTCGCGCTCCCACTGGCTCCGGCCACTGGAGGGTGGCCGCCCGCACTTGTGCCAGAGGATGTAGCCGGGTTTCTAGTATGCCCTGCCACTCCAGCAGCTCCTCCGTGACCGTCATCGTCGTCTCCATGACCGTGACCATCGCTCTCGAAAGCATCAAGATACTCCCAATCACTCTCTTCGCTACTGCTGTCACTTTCATCGTCTTTTCCGGTGCTGGGCTGCACAGTCGGGCGCTTTTCTGCCTCTTCTCTGCATCCTCAATTGCGCGTAAGTCACTAGGGCTCTCCGTAATAACGTCAGCAATTGCCACATGCGTGACCGGCATCAGCACAAAAGGAATTTCATCTGGCACAGTTGTCGCCTTCCCGTAGCACTGCTTTGCTATCAGACGCTCCACGTAGTCACCGCCCACAGCAACATCCTCACGGAAGGTAACCGATCTGCGTTGAAGCATTTCTCCCGTCTCAAGGTTCAGCAGTCGATTGAGGCGAGGCCGATGAAACCTTTATCGCCCAGGGGGGGTTCGTATAGCGCAGCCCAAGACTGTTCCCCAAGGGTAGACCCAGAGAATCGACTTGAGAGTCAACAGCAAGAAGATAGACCCAGAGATTCGCAGCCGCAAAGCTTTAAACCCTGAGAATCACACTCCTTGGTTGGCGTGGGTACCTTGTGTAATCCCTGTCGGCTCGTTTGTCTTCGACGGAACGGCACTCCACCGGTTGAAAATGTAGCCTCGAAGAAGTGCGGGAGCGCACGTCTACTTCAGAACGCACCTCCACACAAAAGGCAAACCCAGAGAATCAGATCCCCTGAAACCCAGAATATCACGAATTCAGGGTCCAGGATTTCAGTCAACTCTGGGACTTGGAACTCAGAAGACACCTTACCCAAACGCCCTCCTAGCTCGATAAAACCAACAAATACAGAGTATACAAACACTACAACTAGCCGTCACTTATTCTTTTGGACCCTTGGACGGTGGGTCACACACACACTAGGCTCACTCGAGTCTGAAATTCAGGGGCCTAGCTCCCCTGAGACTCACACAAACGCGCACCACCTCCAATAAAGGAGGAAAATACAATCACTATCAGTTACCTTCCCTTCACACAAGCAGTCAATACAAAATCCTGGAGGCGACTACCTAGCACCCCAGAATACCCTCTGGAGTAATATGAAATGGGCTACCACGAGCACAGCAAGTGACCCAACTAGGATATGGAATAGATGGATCACCCCAGGAAGCTCAAGGCCGTCGCTGATCCCCACCTAACTGGACTTGAGTTTGATGGAGCCCACACAGACGGCTGTCCTTCGCCGTTGATGTGCCCTTAGCGTCCCGCGGTCGTAGTCTCGGGTCCTCCGGATTTCTGTCGGCAGGCTTGGCCGAAGTCACTTGCGCAGTACAGGGTAAAAGGAACTCTGTTTGGTTTTTATCAGCTACTTCTCTCTCTCTCTTCTTCGGGCAAATATCTTCTGTTCACTATGTTTGGGGTCAAAATGTCTTGTCTTGAGTATACCTTGGGATCAGCGGTCCAAACTTGCGATCGGCTTGCGAATCCATTGTCGCACGGCGCCGAAAGTGCCAATAGTGGGTCCTTAGACTTGGTTTAGTATGGTGCAGGACTCCCTCTCGACTCCTCGAAAGTATCCAGTCTTTGCATCCACAACGGTTCTTCAAGGTCACGCATCACTTTGATTGCAGACTGACTGCGAACTGACTCGAATCCCTGAGAATCAGGTGACACTCAGGGTCATCTTCTGAAATCCTGGGAACTCTGAGGAATCTTGGGGAACTGTAGGGATTCTTGGGTGTTGGCTCGGGAAACACTTAAGTTCAGTATAGAGAGTCTGGATTTATGGTCCAAACCCAGAGAATCATCTTTGGAACTCTGGGTCACCTGTACTCAGGGAGGTGAACTCTGGGTCATCGTGCGGCACTCTGGGTTTCCGTGCAGCACTCTGGGTAACAAGTCTGCTACATTGCAGGCCTGCGTGCATCTCCACAAAGCCACACTTTTAGCGGGTTTAGCGGCCTCCTGCGCATGATCACGGTGGTAGTGGGTTGATTCTCAGGGTAATTTGATCCTCTGGGGCACTCTGAGCCACAGCAAGATGAGGTGTACTCTGGGATACATTCTCCAGAGACACTTTCCGCCAGACTTTAGGTACTCATCGTAAGGGAAAGCCCGCGGCTGGACTGAGTGTTCTCTGAAATTCTGGGCGTGCACTCCCAGGATTCACACTTCCAGCCAGTTGGGCCCATCTGCGGTCAGACGCTGGATTCATCCCGAGAAATCATTTCTCTCCCACAGTCGCCATCCATGTCACACGGGTACAGCCGCGCCGTATCCAAGTCATCCACCAATCAGCATCCATACAAACTCCAGGTCACAGAGGTGACGGCACATCGTCGGCAATTTTCTGGGGACCGCCTCGTGTCAACCGCCCCTCCTGGTCCGAGTCCATCAAAGAGGAAATTGCTCCGAACTGGTGAACCATGGCCAGGCCACAAAAACACACAGGTCCATCCACCGTCGACTTCGACACGGCCGTTGCACTCTGTCGACTCCCAGGGTTTCACTTACTTTGGCGGCACCCTGTCTCCCCAACGGTTGGTCAGGACCTATCTTCAAGGTTCTCCTCTCAAACGCAAAACTCCAACGGGCAATGCGCGGTCACATAGCCATTTCGCAGATCGTCAACATGGCGGAGAGCGCGACTTCGGACGGCAAGCAAGCGACGGTGCCAGCTCAAGGCATGGCGCCCCCCGGCAGCGCGCCACCTCCGACACAGCAGCGCACCGGCGGCGCCCCTGCGAGCACCGCACCAACAGGCGGCGGCAGCGGCTAGGCGGGTAACTCAGCGTCCGGCGACACTTCGACGGGCAGCACCAAGACGGGCGTGACCAAGCGCGTCTCCTTCTCCAGCGCCACCAGCAAGACCTCCGACGCGGACATGCGCGAGGCCGATGGCAACGCCTCGACTGACGCTGCAACCCAGGAAACTGGTGACGCGAACTCAGAGTCCAAGGCTCCAGACGCAGGCGGCGTGGCTCCGGTCGTGGACATGGAGGGCGCCCCTGAGTTCAAGTTACCACGACACGTGACGCTAGAGGACGTCAGGGGACTCATCTTCGCAGGCATGCTTCGGCAGGAGGAGGTCGATCCCCCTGACTTTCTGGTCCCTGAACGCCCCCCGCACTGGAAACTGCCGGCTCCGCCGAATCTCAAGACCAACGCGTATCTCGTGGGGGTGCCAGGGATCGTGAACGACATTCGCGCGGGCGCGTTCGCCATGGAAGGCTACGGCGGCGCGACCACGTTGGTCAGCTTCGAGGAGCTCTCCGACGAGGACCTTCAGGGGTTGAAGGAAGTCTGTGGCGCCGACGCTGGGATCGATGTCCTATGTCCACGTCGTTCGCCTCTTTCAGCGTTCGAACTGGACAATACCCTGAATTCCATCGGTATTCGACGCGAGATGGCCTCACTCCTGCGTCACTTCAACAGCACAAGGCTCGCTGAACGCGTGTTCAAGATGACCGGTTACCTGCGTCGAGTCCTCGGGGCCTACCGAAACATGCGTTCTCTGGCTGACTCTCAGCAGGGTTTCACCGCCACTCAGGAAGTAGTCGACACGCGACGCAAGTACAAGGAACTGAAGCGCGCCTGGAAATTCACGTGCGACTACTGGTTCCTGGAGGTCCAAGAGGCCTTGGGCAAGGTGGATGACGCTGAGTCCAAGTACAAAGTCGCGCTGGGCGAGCAGAAGACGCGGTATCAAGACGAGATTGATTCTCTGGAGTCCGTGAAGGCGCAACTCAAGGCGCGCCTTGCCGACTCTGAGGCACAAGTGCGAATCCTGAAATCGCGTCTTGAGTCAGCCACCGTGGACCCCTGGAAGTTCTCCGATTTCCTTCAAGAGCACACAGACTTCACGGGTAATTGGGAGCACCTCCACGACCTCTTCAAGCTCTGCATCAAGGGCTCGAAGCCTCCCGAATCCTGGGACACTGTCATCAACGTCACGGCCATGGACAAGCGCAAGGCTGCGGTGGCCCCGTACCCAGAGAAAAGCACACGTATGCCTCTGTCTTCGGGGTCTGGATCGTCCGGTCGTCCTGAAAATCTGGATCTCACGGATCCTAGCAGCAAGCCTCGCAGCGGTTCGAAGACCGGGGGCAAAACTCAGGATTCCAAGAAATCTCAGGGTTCCAAGAAAGGTCAAGACCCCGGAAATCACGGGATTCCAAGGCGCCGGGCGAGTCGCCACGGCGGTCGGCGCACCCTAAGCCTCACAAAGTTCAGCGTCGCCCCACGGATCACCAACCAGGCCGCGACTCTGTGCGTCGCGCCAGCGAGAAGACTGTGGTGTCCAAGGAGGCCGCACACACGATGCTCCCGGGGGGTGTCGTCTGGAAGGAAGTTCGGCCAGACGTACGTCAGGCCATTCTTGCTGGGCTCAAGTACGACACAGCCATGGAGTGGATTGGCAGCGACCGGGCGGCTCACGGGCACTTCAGGCAGCCGCAGCTGATCAAGATGCTCGTGAGCATGATGTACTGGTGTCGTCTTGACCTGACTCCCTGGGGCAAGTACGTCCCTGAAGCCTACTACGAAATGGCAGACGAGCGTCTGGGCAGGTGCCTTCGACGCGGTGATGTGCCACCACCCTGGGGGAACCTCGATGACCACATGGTGTACCCTGATGAGGACGCCGATTCTACGGTGGACGACATCGAGAACGACCCGGACTACCAGCCTCCCGCCCAGGAACCTGAGGAGAGCGCCTCTAGTAATAGCTCTGAAGAGGAGGAGGAGGTCGCCCCTGAAACTCTGGAGGACATCGAGGATGCAGAGGACGACGACGACGCAGAGGACGACAATGGGGTAGAAGAACCCCTGGAAGTCAAGCCTCCCGCTAAGCGCCCCCGTTCTGAGTCAAGCAAGAAACCTCAGGGTTCCAACTCGAAGTCGAAGAAGAAACGTCGCACGGGAAACAAGACAGACACTTCTGCCACTCAGGGTTCTAGTGGTACTCAGGGGTCCAAGGCTACATCACGCTCCAAGCATCCGTCGACGCTCGCACGGAAATCGTACTCGGAGCTCACTTCAAGTGAGTTGATGACGGCCGAAGACCCTGAGGACAACGAGACCTCCTGGCGCATCTATGGGGTTCTTGTTCAATATCCAAGTTCGACCAAGAGTGCGTCTTGCCAGACTCCCGGGTTCCCAGAGTACGAGATCCACAAGTATTCGTACGACGTTGCTCACGAGCGCTGGGACCGTGAGGCATACCAAGAAGTCCTGGATTCTGAACCCTGGGACACTATGCTTCAGGGTCGCTTCCAAATGTTCTACTTCCATGAGCGAGAGCTACTCTCCGCGAAAGCGCTCAAGCTGATGGAGGACGTCGTGGACATCATGCACAAGCACGCACAGGCAATCTGGGAGCGCGGGCAATGGGTGCCTATTCCGACTGAAGAACAAGCAGACGCCACCATGGAATCTCAGCGGAAGTCGCGTCGAAACGCGCTACGCAGAGCGTACAAGACGCTCGTCGAGCGCTCGCGCAACACTCCTGGGTTCATCCCGTCGTTGAGGCACGAACCGGGTCTCTGGAATTTCCCGGACAAGTGCTGCTACTGGATTTAGGAGGATCCCAGGGCCAAAAAACTCGGGGGAGCTAAGTGCAAAGACTTAGACGTCCAGCTAGCGACGTTGGACATTCGTGAGCCTGCTCGAGTCCAATGGAACACGGCGGCTGACGACGATGAGTGGCTACAATACGTGCCGAGCAACATCAAGCGCCACATCAAACCCCTGGCCATCCGCAAGCTCAACCCGCTGTCTCTCAAGCACTCGTGAGAGTCAAGGTCACCTCCAAATCCCGAGAACCATCTGAATTTCACATGTCGTAGCGTAACTCTCCATAATACCCAGGACTTCATCTCGATTTCAATGTCTTCCCCAGAAATTCATCATTTTTCTGACTTGTTCTCTGGGTCATCCAACTTCGTTTACTGTCTCCATGTCCTTGTAAAGCTCGCCGCCTTCATCTTCCTTCTCACACACTGCCAAAGCCTCAGCAGTATCACCTTTTCCATAATCAAATCAAGTCAAATCACATTCACGTTTTCCGTCTCCAATATTCACACATTCCGTCGATTTTCCCCAGAGTTTCACAGTGTCACCCAGAGTTTCCCCTGAATATCACGTGTAACTCTGGGTCATTGTCACCCCAGAGTGCTAGAATCCTGGGTGATCATCTCCAGCCTGCATGGCCTGGAAACGGGCCCGCGCTCTTGCGCCTTGATTGAATTCGTAGAGCCGGGCACCACAGTTGAGCTTCGACACAGGCAGCCACTCGGTCTCATCATACCCCTTCCACTTCACAAGGTACTCACGAATTCGTCTCGCTGTCCGAGTCCGTTTAGTCCATCGCAAATCCAGGATTCGCTCAACTTCGTACTCATCGTTCGCAGCGTCGGGCTCCCAACTGTCTTCAGGCAACAGCGCCGCATCAAAGTCATCATCCCCGTCCACGTCGATCTCCACAGTGGGCCGCTTCGGGAATAGTGCTCTGGGTTTCAAACGGCTCACGTGTACCCAGGGATCTACGCGATATCCTGTGTTCTCGACCCTGAGTTTCACGCGGAAGTTGTCATGGATTTCCTGAATTCTGAAGGGGCCATGCCACATGTGAGCCAGTTTGCGGCTCAGCCCGGGCTGCACTTTGGGTATATACAGCCACACAACATCACCGGCTGCAAATCCTGCCTTCAGTCGTTCGGACGGCTCTCTCCACTTCCTGGTTTGTTCGGCAGGGCGCACGCGCTTGGCCTTCTGAAGCTCCTCA